GCCCCCGGCTTGGAGCCTCCACACTGAGGCTCACCTGGGGGTGCCACTTGAGGTGGCACCCCTCCAGCACCCCTGGAGCGCGGAATGCCTCCCCTGTTCAGGAGAGAGCCTCCGCCATTGCTGAAGCCACAGACCGGAAGTCGCCTGCGCAGGGTTCTTGTGAGTTGATTCACACTTGCCCGTTCGTCACTTGATAAATGCAGCGTCATGTGATGTCCTGGAAGTGTGAATGAGGCATTGCAGAGTAACCACCACAGGTAGAACTCTGTATTGCATCCCAAGCCATCTTCACGTGTTATTGTGAATGCATGTACATACTGCATGTACATACGTACATCTGTTTGTAAGGAAGAGCCAAGGTGTGTTCTCTTTACAAATGAAACGAGGACAAGTGCCTAGATAAATGTGAAGTTTCAACCACATGTTCACCTGTACATGTATTGAACGTAACATGATAATTACTCAAAGCATTTATAATGAAAAATCAAGTCTACACCCTGCACAGATTGTGTGTGCAGGGTAACATGTGAACTGGGCTGCTGTGCTTTTCAGCCAAGCCATCATTCACACCATCAACTGTCAGTCACTGAATAATTCCAGCGATGCGCCCACATGTGTGAACCAGCCCTGTTTTTCTCTCTTCCAGGATTATTCTGTGGAAGGGATGAGTGACTCTCTGCTGAATTTCCTTCAGCATCTTCGGGAGTTTGGCCTGGTCTTTCAGAGGAAGGTAATGCCTAGAAAGGCATGAGAGATGGAGGCATGGTTTGGGGGGAACTGGAATTTGGAAAAAGATGGCCAGACGGCTGCAGGCTGGGGAACTGAAGATGTTAGCAATAGTAGTGATAAGGTTGTGAATTGGGATCATAGATGTGAGCTGTGAATTGTCAAAAGAGTTATAAATGGGGGAGGGGGAGGTCTCAAACCAGTCAGAGTCTTACTACTGCTGTCCTTTCTTCTCCTGTTCCAGAGGAAATCCAGGCGTTACTACCCCACCCGCCTGGCCATCAACCTTTCCTCTGGCATCTCAGGCACCTCAGTGGACACCCACAACCAGGGCTTCATTGTTGTGGAGACGAACTACAGGATTTATGCATACACAGGTCAGAGGTCAAAGCCCAGGATGTCCCTGTTGTGCTGGTTTGCTTACTTCACCGGGACCGCACTGCCTTCTCTTCCCCGGGTCCATTATCTTCTTTCCTCCTCAAGTCCTGGTTGGCTGGCTTAACTGCCTGCCTGGCTTTGCAAATCCCAGATAATACGCACGTTGCTGTGACACCTGAATTGAAATTTTAACTAAAGTGGGTCAAGAGCCCCTGACTATGGACACTTCTACACTGTCATTTTTATCACTCTTTTGTCCCTATTGCTTCCGGGTTTCCCCCCCCAAAAAAGTGTTTTGCTCTCTCTAGTAGTCCCAGAGGGATCAAAACACATGTGGAAAAGGTGGAGGTGGGGGACCCAAAGCAATAGGGAAAAATGAGTGACGAAAGTGACAGTGCGGAAGTGGCCTATTTAATTTGTTAATTTTTTTGTTTAGAAAATGTGTATGCTACCTCTCCAGATCTGCTCCAGGAGGCTTGTCGTTAGAGCAGTAAAACAAAAAGCAAGCAGGACAATAAAATCAAGTAATGAATTGGATTTCCTAAGTACTTGTAGGAGATCCGGTAGCGTATGTTCTCCATTATGCTTGGGTCTTTCCCTGTCAAACTCCTTATATTTAGAGTTCTTGACAGTAGGACACTATTTATAGGAGCTGGACTGAGTGCTGTTCCTTTGGAAGAAATAGGCTATCAGGGGAGGATTCCCATTTCAGACAGGCTTTGCAATTGTGCAACAGGAAAGACTGGCCCTCTAAGCGCTGGATCTCCCCTTTTGTACACGATATGGCAGTGTTACCCTCTTCACAAAGGATTACTAATTTAATGGCCAGAATGGAACTTAAAACTACCCTGGCAGCAGTACTGGTTTTATTGATTGTTCTTTAACATAAAAATATAAGGGTTGATATATCATTGATTTTAATTTGTCTGGCCTGTCAATGTGAGCTGTTCAAAGCCGTCGGGCTAGAAGAATGGACTTATTAAAGAAAGTAATACAATCAAGTAAGTAAAAGGAAATCATAACAATAAAACAAGTCAGGTTAATAGAATAAATTATCTGTAGTCTCTTTCCTATCTCTGTCACATGTATACTCTGTTGTTGCCCCCAGTTTATGGAAAGGTCTGCCTAGTATGGTCAGGAAGGCTCCCTATCTCCAGGCATTCTGCAGACTAGGCAAAACTGAATTATTCAGGAGGACTTTTCTACGCAGTTAATAGGGTTAGGCTGGGCAGTAATTAAGTGGTTCAGAAAGATGCTTTGGTAAAGGGATAGGGAGGGACCATGGACTATTCTACTGTGTACTGTCTGCTGCTGTAAGTATGCTCACACTAATTTCTGCGTTGTTTAACATGTTGCATTCAAATGCTTATGCTTGGCTTCAGATTTCTGCAATCCAGACCCTGTTGCACTGATAATTGGGTGTCCCACCCTCTTGAGAGCCAGTTTGGTGTAGTGGTTAAGTGTGCCGACTCTAATCTGGGAGAACCGGGTTTGATTCCCCACTCCTCCACTTGCACCTGCTGATGTGACCTTGGGTCAGTCACAAGCTCTGGCACAGCTGTCCTTGAAAAAGGGCAGTTTGTGTCAGAGTTCTCTCAGCCCCACCCACCTCACAGGGTGTCTGTTGTGGGGAGGGGAAGGGAAATGAGTTTGTAAGCCGCTCTGAGACACCTTTGGGTAGTGAAGGGCGGGGTATCAATCCAATCTCTTCTTCTTCTCTCTTGATTGTCCAGGCTGGCACTGTGTAATCTGCCTTGTGTTTCAGTAAGAAAGGTGGACTATAAATATCGTAAAAATAAATCAATGTTAAGGGCTTAATTTAAGACAGGTTCTCTAGGATATAGCTGTTTTCGATTCCAGGGCTTATTTTATGAGATTAAAGGAGAGGGTGCTTTAAGAGTATCTTGACATTACAACATGTGGAGCACATGCAAGCTCCAGCACTCCTGGTCTGGGCTGACGGAGATCTCTTTCCGCTTAAAAGGTGCCCTTTCCAGGGAGGCTTGAACCTGCATGCTGACTGTTTTAGAAATGAAAATGTGACCTTTGTTTCTCTCTGCTTCCCCCCCCCCTTCCCCCGGTCTCTCTACCTCCTCCCAGACTCTGAGTTGCAGATCGCCCTCATCGCCCTCTTCTCAGAAATGCTGTATCGTTTCCCCAATTTGGTGGTGGCTCAGGTCACCCGGGAGAGTGTGCAGCAGGCCATTGCCAATGGCATCACAGCGGATCAGGTGAGAATCGCCGAGAGGCAGCTGAAAGTAAGCAAGCTGCTTTGAAAAGGGTCAAAGGGTTGCAGCTTGTTTGGAAGGCCGCTTAGTTTCCTTTGTTGCCAGGTTCGAAGTGGGTATTTCCCGGCGTGGACACAACATTCATTGGCCACAGGGATCAAGTAATTATGGCACTCAAAATGTGTCAAGGCCAACTTTTGATTAATTCCCTGGGTTCTCTCTTTTCTACAGATCATTCACTTCCTGCGTACCAGAGCCCACTCCGTGATGCTAAAACAGGTGAGGAAGATAAGGAAGGCTAGAAACCAGCATTCCTGAGTTGCTTTGGAAGGATGTCCTATAGATTATATTTTATGACTGTGTGTATTTCTGTTCCACTTTCTACACCCAGTTGGGTGTAGTGGTTAAGAGTAGCGGACTCTAATCTGGAGAACTTGGTTTGATTCCCCACTCCGCCACATGCAGCTGATGGGTGATCTTGGGTCAGTCACAAGTTCTCTCAGAGCTCTTTTCTCAAGAGCATTTCTCTCCGAACTCTCTTAGCCCCACCTACCTCACAGGGTGTCTGTTGTGGGGAGATGAAGGGAAGGAGATCATAAGCCGCTCTGAGATTCCGAGTGAAGGGTGAGGTATAAATTCAATCTCCTCCTCCTCCTCCTTGTTTATTTTATTAAAATGTCAATACCCCACTTTTCCCTTGTGGCTCAAGGTGGCTTACAATTCCAAAAACTAACAACATAGAAACTAACACCACCAAGTAAGACTGGGGCTGCTATGCAGAGGAAGGCAACAGCAAACCACCTCTGCTCATCTCTTGCCTTGAAAACTCCCTGGTCCTCAGTGGCCCTGAATGGGTTGCAACTTGATGGCCAGCAATTATAATGATAGCAGTCAGGGTGGGTTAAGTTACACTTTCTTGGCTCCAAGACCCTTGTCTAAACTGATCAAAGGGAACGACTGAGACAAAATTGTAAAATTTGGTTCAAAAAAGGTTGCTGGCCCCTGTTACGATCCCTGCTAGAAAAGGTAATAATGTAGTCCCTAATTAGATTCCTGGTGGGGAAAAGCAACAATGTTATCCGTGCAAAGAAAACTTCAATAACTTTCCAAGAGAACTCTTCTCCCCTCCCCTCTTTTCTCTCAGAGCTGTTCTCTCGAGGGCAGCTCTCTCAGCTCTCTCAGCCCCACCTACCTCACAGGGTGTCTGTTGTGAGGAGAGGAAGGCGATTGTAAGTTGCTCTGAGACTCCAAGTGAAGGGCAGGGTATAAATCCAACTCTTTTTCTTTTGCTTAGTGCTGGGGAAGAAGAGTAACTGGGATTCTGGGTAAGGGGACAGGCAGATGCCAAGGGAAGGCTCAGCTGCTGAAGCAACAAGAGAAGCTAATCTTTTTTTTCTGCACTTTGGCAAATGGCTTGTCACAGGTCCATAATTCTCTTTTGATCTCCCAACAGACCCCAGTGCTGCCCCCCACCATCACAGATCAGATCCGACTGTGGGAATTGGAACGGGATCGGCTGCGCTTCTCTGAGGGTGAGTATGTGTGGAAGAAAGATCCTGTTAGAAAAGAAGCAAGGAATGTGACGAGGGAAAAGAGTGGACGTTGTCTCCCTCAGGTAGATTTTTGTGCTGTGACAGTGTCCCGTCCCCCCCATGCACCTCTCCAGGACAATCACTGATACTTCCTTTCCAGTTTTCTGTCTTTCCCATCATGAACCCATCTGCTGTTTATGTTCTGTAGGCTGAACTTTGCTTTGTGCCTCTTAGTCAGTGAAGGGGAGGGCTGTGGTTTTGAGGTGGTGGAATCACTTCCTTGGGGTTTGGAGCTGCTTCTGATCTTGTTGGTTTTCAGGGGGCATCAAAACCAACCTCTGCTGGACAGTCTGTGGCTACCAACTGAGTGTGGCGCCCCTGCAGAGCTGCTGTATTAGATTTCATTAGGTTTTAAATTAAATTATTTCATTTTTGTTTGGTTGGAAGCCATCTTGAGCTCAGTGGGTTACCAGTGTTTTGGAAATGCAGTTATAATCTGTTCTGCACACTCTCACATGATTCTCCCTCTGTTCACATTACACTTGTTCTCCTCTTCCTCTCCAGTGCCTCTCTTTTCTTCTACTCCTTTCCCCTGCAACCCATCTGTTGCCTGCACTTTTCTGATTCTCTGCTTCCTTTGCTTTTCTCTCCCCCTCCCCTTTAATTTGTTCCAACAAAATATTTGGTCCATAATCCTCTTCTCTTCACAACACTTGGCCTGTATTGTCTTCTATCTGATTCATTTTCTTTTTTCCTCATCTCCATTACTTTTGTTCATCTCCACTTTCTTTTTATCTTACCACACTTTTTCTCTTTCTTCTGCCTAATTTAACCCTTCTGTTTGTATCATGTTTCCCCCCTTCTTCGTCCTCTCCCCATCATGTTTGGCCTTGCCCTTTCCCTTCTCATAACCACTTTTGTGCCCATATCTTTACCCTTCCAGCTGCTTCATGCATCTTCCCTTTCTGTGGGATCCTCTTTATCCTTACACTGTGGCTTTGCTCCCTTAGGTGTCCTCTACAACCAGTTCCTGTCCCAAGTTGATTTTGAGCTACTGCGCGATCATGCCAGGGAGCTCGGGGTGCTTGTCTTTGAGAACCCATCCAGACGTCTCATGGTGGTGACTCCTGCTGGCCACTCGGATGTCAAGCGGTTCTGGAAGCGGCAGAAACACAGTTCCTGAGGAGAGTGATAGAGTTCAGAACTTCTCTCTTCTCCCCCTTGGTACTACATGGTAGTAGAGTGGGGTGTCATTTGCTGCATCCCTCCCTCATAACTTTGGGTGAACATCCTAAAGGAGTTTGCTAACCGAGAAGAAGGCATACTGGGGGTTGCCTGGTGACTCCTGTTCAGGTGTGAAGAGGAGAAGAGCTGTTGGAAGATGGAAAACCCTGGAAGTTACAGTTCATGCAGTGGAATAGTTAAAACTTCATCACCTGTCAGCGATTCTTCCTGGCAGGAGGGTGTTGAAATGGGGCTAGTTTTGTTATGGAACAGGTCTGTGCCTAAAATGTTGAGATAGTTTGTAGGCACCATGTCCTGTTCCTTAGAGGACCCACACCAGTGTGTGCGTGTGTGAGAGAGAGACACACAAAGAGTTGATAGGCAGGTTACTTTAAAACATCAGTGAGAGAGTGAAATGCCAGTGTCCTGTGGATGTTTAGCATACTGCATGCTGTGGAAGTAGGTGGAAGATGCACTGTTGTCTTTAATCAGTGACAAGGTCTGTGTAGCCCACCTTCCCCCCAGCTCCACCGAGATACCTCCTTTTAGTAAGTGAGGTAAGATTCAAGGGCTGTTCTACCCACATGTGACAAACATCAACCTTATTTGGGTTCTGCCTTGTTTTTTTGTGTGAGGGTGTGCACAAGGGAGAATGTCTATAACATCACACATACCTTTGGAAAGTCAGCAAGTCCACTGGGTCCTAGGACTGCCTCTCCATGCTGATGGATAAAAATACCTGTTGATTTTGTGCCTGTTAGGCAACTGGCACAGGGAAAGTTCTTACTGGTCCTGTGTTCCGTAGAGTTTTTTCTCAGTATTGTGTGGGAAGGGCAAATCTCCGCTGGTCCATAAGCACAGCTGGAGTGATCCGCAGAGGCCTACGACCAGGAGCACAGAAGTTGCACCAACCTTCTCAGCCTCTTTCCTAGGTTCCTAGTCCAGACATAGTGAGTAATGAAGCACTGCAACCCTCTTGCTCTCCTCTCTTAAGCCGGAAAAGATCAAAGCACTGCAACGAAGCCACTGTCCACCACTCATCTTGAGGATAAGACAGAGGGACTAGGACTGTAAATAAGGAGTCAGTGTTATTTTTAGCCCCTTGGCTAAGATGGAACTGAAAGAGGCTAATGCCAGTTGAATGGAAATTGATAGGCAGCGTGAGACTCCAATAAATTTGGGGAAATGGGACAGGATCCAATGAGAGCCTAATGGTAAATAAGCCTTTTTTCTGTTTGTTTTATTGAAACAGAAGTATGAATACATGCTTCACCTGGAAGGCATTTGTAGAGCATGGGGGTCTAGAAAGAAGCAGTGGTGGTTCTTCACAGTGCCAATGGCCAAAAGAGCTTGGTAGCTGGGAGTGTTGCAAGAGCTACCTGGTGCCCCAAACTCAGGACTGACCCTGGGGTAGTTAGAAGAAGTGCCGGACTAACTGTGTTCGCTTCCCTGTTGAGCCATAAAGCTCGCAAAGTAGCACCATTTCTCAGCCTAACCTACCTCACAGGGTTGTTGTGAGGATAAAATAGGGGGGGACCACATATACTGCCCTGAGCCCCTTACAGTAAGGGTGGGATAAAAATTAAAAGAGCAGATGGTGAAGTGTGCCCTTTGACGTTAGGTGTGTGACAAAGCCATGTCCAGTAACCAATCAGGAGAGTGTGAGGGAAATGGATGGTTGAAGCAGACAGTTAAACTGCCAGATAGGGCTGGGTAAAAAGAAACAGTCAGATGGAGTTTAGGTCCTTATCTCAAAATTACTCACACTAAGGAGGGAATTCAAAGGGCTTTTCTTTGGATAAGGGAAAATCGTAAACCCATCCTGATTGTCAGGGTCTTAAGTGTGATGCTCTGGCTGAAAGCCAGGTTTGAAGGCAGCAGCTGAATTTTTAAATAAAATCTTGTGTCTTAACTTGTATAATAATGCCCCTATATAAATCAATGGTGAGACCTCATTTGGAATACTGTGTGCAGTTCTGGGCACCACACCTTAAAAAGGATATTATAGCTTTGGAAAACGTGCAGAAAAGGGCAACTCGAATGATAAAAGGGTTGGCACACTTTCCCTATGAGGAAAGGTTAAAGCGCTTAGGGCTCTTTAGCTTGGAGAAAAGACGACTGAGGGGTGACATGATCAAGGTTTATAAGATTATGCATGGGAAAGAGCAGGTAAAGAAAGAGGTACTTTTCTCCCTTTCTCACAATACAAGAACTCGTGGGCACTCCATGAAACTGCAGAGCGGTCGGGTTAGAACGGATAAAAGGAAGTACTTCTTCACCCAAAGAGTGATTAACACATGGAATTCACTGCCACAGGAAGTGGTGGGTGCTACAAGCATGGACGGCTTCAAAAGGGAATTAGATAAGCATATGGAGCAGAGGTCCATCAGTGGCTATTAGCCACAAGGTATAGCTAGGGGCTCTGGGGCAAGTGATGCTCTGTCTTCTTGGTGCTTGGGGGGGGGTCAACAGTGGGAGGGTTTCTAATGTCCTGGCCCCACTGGTGGACCTCCTGATGGCACTGGTATTTCTGGCCACTGTGTGACACAGAGTGTTGGACTGGATGGGCCTTTGGCCTGATCCAACATTGGCGTCTCTTATGTTCTTATGTTCTTAATATTGATGAAACCACTAAGCTTTTAACTGGCTCTAAGTGAATCAAAATAAAACTTCTTCAGGAATCAGCCACCACTGTCTCAACCTACATTTAACCTAGGAAAAACAATATACCAAGGTCATTGAACCGGCTGATGTGCTAACTGTTGAAAAGACAATCTGCTTTCTTATTACCACCTTTTCTACAAATTATGCTTGTGTTTGTTTTTTTGCTCCCCAATGGGGAATTTTTATTGCATTTTTATTAAAACTACAAACTATAACAGAAATAAGGAGGGGGACTACATTTAAGGGGATAAAGAAAAGATACCCACTACTGACTAAAAACCCAAGAGAGGAGATCTTCTAATCAGCTTGTGAATAGTTCCTCATCCTCTTGGAAAAGAGTGACAAGTGGAGTGTCTCAGGGATCTCTGGGACCTGTTTTGTTCAACATCTTTATAAATTATTTGGATGAAGAGATAGAGAGAATGCTTATTAAATTTGCAGATGACACTAAATTGGGAGGGGTAGCAAATACAGTAGAAGACAAGAGTCAGGATACAGGATGATCTTGACAGGCTGGAAAACTGGGCTAAAACAAAATGAATTTCAACGGGGATAAATGTAAAGTTCTTCATTGAGGTAGGAAAAATCAAATGCATAATTATAGGATGGGGGGGACTTGTCTCGGCAGTAGTATGTGCAAAAAAGGATCTAGAGGTCTTAGTAGACCATACACTGAACATGAGTCAGCAGTGTGATGCCATAGCTAAAAAGTCAAATGCCATTTGGGATTGTATCAACAGAAGTATAGGGTCCAGATCACACAAAGTGATGATATCATTTTACTTGACTCTGGTTAGACCAGACTCTGGTTGTGTTCAGTTTTGGGCACCACAATTTAAGAAGGATATATAGACAAGCTGGACTGTCTCCAGAGGAGGGTAACAAAGATGGTGAGAGGTTGGAGAACACATTTAAAGTTGCTTTCTTTCCACCTCTTCTACTGAACCACGATAGTCTAACCTCGAGGTGACCATTGCATGGATCACTGTGGCCAGGTCATCGCGGTCAAGGAAGGGGACCAACTGCCGAGCCAGCCGAAGATTATAAAAGGCCGACTTGGCAGTGGCTGCCACCTGGGCTTCCATCATTAGAGAGGAGTCCAGGAGCACACCCAAACTCCTAACCTCCAGCGCTGGCACCAAAGGCACCCCAGCGAAGGTCGGGAGCCCTAACCCTAAACCAGTCTGACTCAGACCCAGGACCTCCGTCTTTGCCGGGTTTAGTTTCAACCGGCTCAGTCTGAGCCATCCAGCCACAGCCTGTAACACCCGATGTAGGTCATTTGGGGCAGAGTTCGACTGGCCGCCTAACATCAGATAGAGCTGGGTGTCATCCACATATTGATGACACCCAAGCCCACAACTCCGGGCAATCGGCAAGGGAGCGCATGTAGTTGTTAAACAACATTGGGGACAGCACGGCCTCCTGTGGCACCCCACACTCAAGGGGGTGTCTCCGGGACCTCTGGTCCCCTATCGCCACCCTTTGTCCCCAACCTTGGAGAAAAGAGGCAAACCATTGAAGGGCAAGCCCCTGAATCCCCATGTCGGCGAGGCGGTGGGTCAGCAACTGGTGGTCGACCATGTTGAACGCAGCCGACAGATCTAACAACACCAGTGTTGCCACACCACCCCGATACAGATGCCTACGGGGATCGTCAGTCAGGGCGAGTCCAGCACTATCTCTTTCCCGTGACCCTGGCGAAAGCCGGACTGGAAGGGATCGAGGACAGAAGCATCATCCAGAAAGCCCTGTAGTTGTAATGCCACCGCTCTCTCAATAAGTTTGCCCAAATAGGGCAAATTGGACACCGGCCGATAGTTGGTTATTCATCTGGATCCGGGAACCGTCTCTCCAGGAGGGATGTGTTGATAATCTCCCGCAGGACACCTCGGAACCCCTCATGGCACACTTTTATGAGCCAAGAGGGGCACAGATCAAGGTCGCATGTGGTTGGGCATACAGATATGAGCAGTCTGTCAACTTCCTCCAGACTGAGCGGGTCAAAAAACTATAAACCCGGCACCAAAGGCGTGCAAGGGGCCTCAAGTTCACTCACTGTTTCAATTGTGGCGGGGAGGTCACAACGGAGCACCAAGACTTTGTCTGCAAAATAGCTTGCAAATGCCTCACAGCCAATATCCAATTCCCTAACATTTTGCCTGCCCTGTGGCTCTGTGGCTCTCAAAGACCGAATTATACTAAATAATTGGGCTGGGCGTGAGCTAGCAGATGCAATCGAGGTCGCATAGAAGTCTCTCTGTGGCTTTGACTGTCATCTCATAGGCCTTCATAAGCATCCTATAAGATGTTCTTGATGCCTCATCGCGAGCTCAGCGCCACCATCTCTCTAGCCGTCTCAGTTCTCGCTTCAGCTCACGCAGCTCCTGAGTATACCAAGGCGCTCGCCTAGCACGAGAGCGGAGAGAGCATCTGGGAGTGATCTCGTCGATGGCTGAGGAGAGTTGGACATGCCAGTCCTCCACCAGCTCATCCAATGAGCAGCCAAAGGGCCTCGGATCCCGCAGGGCCATCTGGAATTGCATTGGATCCATTTGGCGCTGCGAGCAAGCAAAAATCCGCTCGCCGCCTAAACAGGGTCAGGGTGGAACGTTCAGATGGGCCTTCAGGGCCAGGTGGTCCAACCATGGCACTGCCTCTGCAGTGATCTGGTCCACCATCACCCCCGCTGCGAAGATCAAATCGAGCATGTGACCAGCCGATGCATGGGAGCTGAGATGAATTGAGAGAGTCCTAGTGCCACCATGGACGACACCAGGTCCGTAGCCCGGCTGGAGGTCACGTCCTCGGCATGGACGTTGAAATCACCCAAGACAATCAGCCTAGGGTGCTCCAACGCCCAGCCTGATACAGCCTCCAGCAGGGACAACAGGCTACTGGCCAGTGCGTTAGGCGGTCGGTACACCAGCCAGATTGCCAAACTCTCATCAGCCTCCAGCATCAGACTGACACACTCCACGCCCGCGATCTCCACTGAAGGAAGCGCCCTGAAGGAGTAAGCCTCCCGAATGAAGAAACAACTGTCAGGAGTGTAGTTTTGTGAAGGTACTAGTGATTATCTTAGTTCTGTTGCTAAAAGTTAAATCTGGTCCTGAAAGGTGCCCAGATATGAGAACTGGAGCCAGATATATGGTACTCTGAATGTTTCTAAGAAACAGAATGGCTTAATAAACATCTAAAAGTTTAATCTGTGCCTCACTTTTGGAAGTGGGTTCTTGCCAATTAATTTCTGAATGTGTTTATGCACAGAACATTTTGTAAGCTGGCTTGAGGCCCTTTTTGGAGTAGGAAAAGTGTTGGCTATTACAAGTTGATAACAGTATATCTGGGGTTAAATGTTTGTGTTACTCACAGGAAGTCACATGTTTCATGTAGCCAATGTTTGTTTAGAAGCAATGTTCCCTCTAAGCTGAGTTAGTGTGCGCCAGCTCACAGTTTTTTAGCCTCCGGCTCATATATTTTTGCCTTCGCTCAAGAAGGATGGCTCCAGAGCAAACTAATTTATGCAGTAGCCAAATTTGTTCACTCACAACTTTCATTCCAGTAGCTCACAAAGTAGAATTTTTGCTCACAAGACTCCACAGCTTAGAGGGAACATTGTTTAGAAGTACAAGCCCAGGAAATTTATCCCTGATCTAGGAGTTTGATTGGAACTAAAGTGTCAAAGTGTTTTAGCATTTTATGGCCCCGTCTTTGTCTGAAGTTCTGAAGAAGAAGAAAGAAGAGCAGCCATTACTCTCTTCTAGTTTTGTCTTTGTAGTGTAAAGAAGTAGGAGATTTAGCTCCGTTGTTATTTTCATCCCAGTTACCCTTCCCTATGCTAGAATGTAGTAAAAACTTTCTATTTTAATCACACATGGACTCTGAGTCTGAATTATTTTACTCTGGCACTGCTAAGCTATTTTTTTTCTCTGCTAAATACCGATTTTTATATTTCTAAACCCAACAAAAAGGCATTGTTTAAATGTTTTAAATAAACAATTTAAAAGCTGACATCAAAAAGACACATTTAAAACATTTCTCAGTTCTCTTCAACAGGAGTCGTGTGAAAAAGAGATGTCTGAGTTTGGAGGCAGTGGTTCAGTCCTTCAGTGTGCTGGGTCAGTGCTGCCTGGAGTAGGGAGCAGACGTGCCCTATGTTTGGATTCTTATTTAAGTAAGTCAGCAGAGTATTAAGAGACTGAGTCCATGGTGTGTTTTAAATATAAAAGTTTACTATAAACCTAACATGGGGAAAAGGTACACAGG